CAGTAAACCAATTACTTATGAACTGCTAGCCGATATTGATCGTCGCATTTCCGTGAGGTTGCTAGCGGAAGCCGAAGACGCTGTGGCTCGGCTCGACGCCCGCGCTCGTTATTCTCCTTTCCGGACGCCTTGGATGCAGCGCATGCTCTATGGGGAAGCCTGCGCCGCAAGCCTCGTCGAAGGCGAACTTGTCTTAGTGTCGGATCTGGTCATGTTTGATCAGGGTGGCTGGAATGGAGGGCCGCGCGAAGATTTGATGCGGGCGCGACAATCGTTGCTGGCTTGGCGACGCGCGGTACGTGCGAACGCGCCACGTATGCTAGGTGAAATTCAAACAGATCAGCTTCGACCCGGCGGTGCTGACCGCGCTTCAGACCTAGACAGATTTTGGGATGAGGCGTGGGGGGCTGAGGATCGGTTGACGGCGTGGCATCAAGCCGTCGAGCTGTCGCGACGGCTTCCACCCCTTTTATCGGCCGCGATCGCTTGGGATGCGTGGATGCTCCTACAGCCGGATCAGATTAGGTCATGGAAAAGCACCCTTGGTGCTGCGCTTGTTCTTAAGATGCGCCGCAAGACATCATCGTGCCTGCTGCCCTTGAACACTGGATGGCGGTTTTCATCATACCGGCGCATGCCCCACCACAGTATTGTTGTTCGTCTCAATGGTTTTCTTGAATGGAGCCTCAAGGCTGCTGAACACGGCAACCAGATGCTTGAGCAGATGAGCCGTGCCGATTGCAGACTTCGAGTCCGACTGGAAGGGCGTCGACGGAATTCGCGATTAGGTCAACTGGTTGAGTTTTTCTATGCATCGCCGCTCGTCTCGATACCTGCGGCCGCGCGGAAGCTGGGTTGTTCGCAGCAGGCGATTTCGGGGATGCTGAAGGAACTTGGAAGCTCCATTCGCGAGGTGACCGAGCGGCCTCACTACCGAATGTGGACGCTGACGTGACGGGAGATTGTCTCGCAGTAGTGACAGCCACTCAATCGCTTCCCCCGGCTCCCGGTAGCAGGTCGCCGGAATCGACTTTGTACCCTGCCCTCTGCAGAGCCAGCAACACCAAGTGGCGCACGCTGGTCTTTTGATCCAGGGCATCGCGCTTCAGGGCATCGACCAAGTAATCTGGCACCCGAACGGTCAGCTTCTGTTGCCGCCGTGACGGCGCGACGGCAGGGCGGCTTGACGTCTCGACGGGCTTTGTCGGAGAGCGGACCATCGTTGGCACGCCAAGGCGGTCATTGACGCCTGTCTCTTATACACATCTAGATGTGTATAAGAGACAGCTCCACTCGACTATGAGTCGATTTCCGAGCAACACCGCGTGATGACCAAGTTATTCATCGACGGGCGAGACAAGCTTCAGGAAACGTGGAGAGAGAGGGCGTTGAAACATGCGGCGGAAACGGCCGCGCAGTCGACGGCTCAGCCAAATCAACCTAAATCTGATCAGGGCCAATCGGCTTCTGGTTCGGTGAAGAGCGGCGTGCCGGACAGACTCTAAGTCGGAGCCGATCGCTTGCATCGATTGGGCGATTGGCCGGCGCATTTCTATGCGAAGCGAATTTTTTCAATCTCATCGAGCGTTACATCATCTGAGCGGCGATCGTAGATCTTTGTCGTGTTGATGGACGCATGACCAGCGATATTGGCGGCGCGCTCGATTGCACCACCATTGATGATATAGGCCGTAATGCCAGTTGCACGAAAAGTATGATTGCAGATCGCGGTATCGAGACCTGCGGACCTCTTGCGACGTTGCAACATCTCCCAGGTCATTGCTTGCGACATCGGATTACCTGAGAGGCGACGTAGAGTTTTCCGAGGCGCCGGTCCGACATCGTCACACATCGCGTGCTGGTCGGTGCATTGCCGTTTGCCGTTGCGTGCAAAGGTCTGGAAAAGCGGTGCCGTGGGATCGCCGCGAAGCCCTGCAGCATCAAGCCAATCATCGAGGTAGGCTTCGAGCTGGTGGTGACATGGAATGTCCTTCGCCTTGCCGCCTTTTTCGCGAAGGCGCAGCCACAAACGGCGCTTTTGGTGAAACACGTGCTCGACATGGAGCGAGGTAACGGCACTAATGCGGGCAAAGCTGTAAGCCATGACGCCGATCATGGCCTTGTCCCTTTTGCCGATAAGGAGATTTGCGTCGATAGCGTGAAGCAATTGGACCACTTCATCGCCCGTTAGAACGGGGGTGCGTCCCTTGCTGATGACGTGGCGTGGCCCCTGGACGAGCCGGGCGGGGTTCACCGCAATAATGCGCTGAGCCAGCAGCGATTCCATCAACCCGTTCAACGCGGCGAGACGTTGCTTCACGGTAGGAGCTGAGAGCCCTTCGCTGGTCATGGCATCAAGCCAGCTGGAAATATGATAGGCCTTGATGTGGTCAAGCGATGTCAGCGCCAGATGCTCGGCTGCAAATTTGAAGAACAACGATGCGCTACGCTCATAGGCGCGGCGCGTGTTGCGGCATCGAAGCTTACCCTCGAAGAAGTTGCGAAAGGCATCGACGGTCGCGAACTGATGGTTAAAGATTGAGTTGGGTTGGGCCGGAACTGACGGGATAAGCTTAGCGACTTCAGTCATGGCGCTTTCCAATAAGCGTGTCGGGTTCTTCGGATTGCTTCG